TAAATTCTTCACCAAAAAGTTGATAAGGTACTTTTTGATTTTTAATAAAACATATTTGCTTTAACTATGAAGCATTAATTAGGTTATTGGCCTGTTTTCCTTCTCAATTAATATACTATTTCCAGATGGAAATAATTTTATTTATGCTATAGTATGGCTTTATGAATAAATGTGGAGCTTTGGGGATGTACAAACTGTAGATATTACTTGGTATGTTAACATGTTTCTAAGTTATGTATATCATTTAATTAAATTGCATTAAAATTATTATTAAATACTTAATTTCAAATTAGCTGTATGAGTTATGTGAATAAAGTATGCTTTAATCTTCTTTATTATATCAAAAGTAGCCGAAGTAGTTGTGGGTAGTAATAATAATAATAGCTAATATTCAGACAGTCTATTAAGCCATTATACAAATTTTCACAATGATCATGTTGCAAACATTTCATAAAAAGATCTTTATTTTTCTTAAGACAACTGAAAAAAACTGTTATGAAGATAAGCATTACTCACACAATATAGAATAGAATTTTATGTATGTACACATAAATATATGTTATTTTGTGTTGTTGCTAGATGCTGCAAAGTCAGTTTCACTCATAGGAACCCTACATACAACGGAAATAACCACTACCCAATCCTGCACCGGCTGCACAACTGTTATTATTGAGCCCAGTGTTGCAGCCACTTTGTCAGTCCATCTCCTGGAGAGGTTTCCTCTTTTTCACGGACTCTCACGAAGCATGATGCCCTTTTCCAAGGCATGATGCCCTCATCAGCCTTGTTCCTAAGGAGCATTTTGGATGTACTTCTTGTAAGACAGATTTATGTGTTTTTTCTCTTAGCAGCCTACAGACTGAATATTCTTTGCTAACATCGTAATTCAAATACATCAATTCTTCTGCAATTGTCATTCATTGCTGAGCATGTGCTGCATGTGAAATGATAGAAAATATTATGGCCTCTGTCAGGCACATTTTATAAGGTGACATCCTTGCTGAACACTTTTAAAAGGCTTATGCCGCAGATTTGCCCGATACCATGTGCCATTTAGATTCTTGATTACTGTCTCTCTACACACTGATTGTGGATCCAAGCAAAATTAAATACCTGACAACAAAGATGTTGTTGTAAGGATTTTGTTTGTTTTCTTTACATTGAGTTGTAATCCATGGTGAACACTGCAGTCTGATTTTCATCAGGAAGTACTCAAATCCTCCTCACTTTGAACAAGCAAGGTTGTATTATCTGGATATTGCAGGTTGTTAAATAAGCCTTCCTCCAACCCTAATGCC